CGCGGGGCCGCGCCAGGCGGGCAGCGCGCGCTGAAGGATGTCGCGGGCGGCGGGCGGCGAGTGCCGCCAGGACACGGCGGGCTGGGAGGGCGACGAGGGCCAGTGCGACTCGGGCATCGAGTCGCTGCGCTCGCTGCCCGGCGGCCGCGAGGGCCCGGCCGCCGCAGACCCCGCGGCCGCCGCCGCCGAGGAGCGCCTGGACTCGAGCTACGGCTCCGGCGACCTCCCCGAGGCGCTGCCGGCCGCCTGCCGCGCCGAGACCCCCCCGCCGCCGCCGCCGCCGCCAGTGGCGGGGCTGAGCCCGCAGCAGCTGGAGGCGCTCGCCTACATTTCCGAGGACGGAGACACGTGAGTGCCCCCCCGCCGCAGGTGCCCCCGCCGCCCCAGCGCGCCGAAGGGCGGCTTGCCCGGAGCGCTCCCGAGCCGCCCGCCTCGCCCGAGGGTCCCCGGGCAGCTGCACCAAGGAAGGCTCGGGAAGGCTCCCCGATCCCTAGGGGCTCTTGCTTGGGCCGTGCGCAGGCGCTCGGCTCCGCGGCACGGGTTYGGGTGGGTGGTGAGCGAGGCACCTGGGGCAGGTGCTGTGGGTCAGGTAGGACTGGACAGCCCTGCCCTTCCTGCAGCGCCACAGCAGCCGGGCACAGAACGGGCCTGCTGCCGGGAGCCGATTTCCACTTGTTACGGGGTTGCTAGCAACAGGATGGGGCTGTGGGAGTGAATCAGCCTTTCCCCCCCACCTTCCCCTCGGAGGACGTTCATCACCAGCGGGGCTGGCCTGTCTGTGTGAGGCAGCATGTGAGCAGCACCCAAAACAAGGGCAGCTTGGCAGAGCGAGCAACCCGTGGACTGCTTGTTCTGGGGCCAAAATCATCATGTTTTGCCCATGCACTAGCTGAGGGACAGCTCTGCAGATCTGTGAYGCACGCTCTGCTCGGGGACAGTCCTTCTGTAATGGAGAGAACGTTTTTTTTCTTGATGAGGGGCTTCCCAAATTCACAATGCCCTCTCGAGGGCAGAAACATCATACTGGAGGCATTTGGGTTGGCTTCTGGTAACTGCATGCAGCTAATCATGTCTCTTTCCTGTTGTACATTCCCTCAACGGAAGATCTTAATCATAAGTGAGGGCAGAGTGTGAGTGAAATGCGTCTGAGAAACACCAGGCTCTGACCCCAGCCCAGGCCAGAGTTGAATACTGAGTAATGGTGCAAGAGGAAGAGAAACTGCGAGGCATTAACCTAAGTAACACAGACACATGTAAAGGCGGCCRTGCAGGAGGCTCCAACAGGAGCTGCAAGGAGACACTGCCCTTGCCTGGCAAAGCACGTTCATCCCTGAGGTGGAAGCTGCGACGGGAGCAAGCCCACGTGTTTACTTCCTGGTTAGCAAGGATCCTGTGCATCTGTTAATTAGCTTGTTGGTGCTCGCTGGGGGATCTGCCCAGAGGATTGGCCGGCAGCCTGGCAGCGCGCGAGGTTAGACGAAACGCAGCCTCCCACGCTCCCCAACGGGGCTCTTGGGTGTCTTGCGTGTGCCGCCCCATCGCCGGGCTGGCTCTGCAGCTTCTCTCCAYGGGAAAATTCACTGGCTTGCACAGCTGCAACTCCAGAGGCAACACGGGGAGAACTGCAGGCCTTCACCAGGCCAGGGAAGAAATGCCGCAGGAAAGCTCCCCTGCCCCGCGGTCCCGTTATGTCGCGCGGTGCCAGCGCTCGGCAGCCTCTGTTGTTCAGTGAGTCCAGTGCATGCAGCTGCCTGGAGATGCTTTTCCTGTTCGAGTCTGTCTCGCAAGGTAGCTGAGCCCGTGGCTTGTCAGACTTGCTCGGCTAGAACATAACGCAAGCATCTAATTAACTAGGGAAACATTAATTGGCGCTGCCTTAGTTACTCTGGGCAGGAGAGGCCCTCTGAGAGCTTTCCAAGTGGCTGCAGTCACTCTTCTGCTTTCCCTCGTGCAGTTTAGAACAGGAAATCTGTAAAGAGCAAGGTGKAGAGTGAAAAGTCTGCTGTTAGTGCAGCTCGTAGGACTTGGGACTGGGGCAGTCAGTGCGGGGAGCCTGCACCCCTTAGATCTACTCCCAGTGCTGGGAAACGGATGTATTCTTGTGGTCAGCCTGGTGAGGTTGTGGACTTGTGCCTCTTCTATTCCTGACTCGTCTCCTGAGCCTGTGGGAGAGGTAGGCGGTGGTTATTTTTAGCAATGCAGAACATCCAGCACTCCACTCGATGCAAATCGGACTGTGAGCATCCAGCATTGCCCTAAACTGCTGTTACTTCTCTATGCAAAAACAGACCAGGGCTAATAGCAGTGCTAAAGTCTAAGGAGAAATCACTCACTGTGTGATTAGAGATCTCCAGGAAGAAGAGAGGAGGAAAAAAAAATCAGATGGTCATAGGCCACTTCCTTTTCATCTAGTGAGGCAGACCAGACTATTTCTTTTCATCTCAGTCAGCTGCACTTTACTTTGTGGGTCTTGCTTGAATCCTTGTCACAAGACAGACCCAAGTCTAGGCTTAGGGTCATAGTATATTTTTTTTTCCTCTGTCTTTCTTTTTCTTTTCTTCTTCTTTAGCAGRGTTGGGCAATAATATTTCCCTTTAATCACTGTAATTCTGTAAACACAGAAAGTTCAGGGTTTATTCAGACAGTTCCTGTTTTCCCAGCTGCCCTTGCCAGTACCGAGTGGAGAGGTGCACGGCATGAGGCACACAAGGAGCTGATGGAAGCACTGGCTGCCCTTCCAGCAGGCAGGGCCTCCCCAGGCTGGCCTCAAGACGAGGGGAGGCTGTGTTTGTGAGCCTGGTACCTGTGGCAGAAGCAGGGCGAAGGCAGAGGGGAGAAGGGCGCTCTCAAACACAGTCTGGACAGGCTCTTCCTCGGATTGCTTCCTGCCACCTCCGCAGGAGAAGGATGTTAATTAAGGCAGGATGAAGCAATGCGGCTAAAATTGACTATTTCCCTCCCTCAAAATTAGAGGGACCTGGTTACGTAGGAAGGAAATTAGCCAATGTGGGCGCTCTGGGCGTAATGGCCAATGAAATGTGTGGGCACCTCTGTTTGAGCAGCTGCCTTCCAAGAATCATTTGCTGAAACCCCARCCCAAGTGCCTGCCCCCTGCCCAGCACACGTGGCCGTCTCTCTGCCTTGAGGAAGTCACGGCTGTRCTAACAGGGCAGCGGCACATCAGCCTGGGAGCAGCATCAGCAGAGGTCGAGGAATGGGAGGAAGCCTGGAGCGACAGGCAGAGGGAGGGTGGCGGGTGCCCTTGGGCTGCAGTGCCGCATGGCAGCRTGGAGAGCAGGCCCTGCCAGGAGGCTGCTCCCTCGCCCTCACACTCAGGCTCTCTCCTTCGAACATCCATCTCTTCCTTTTGAACCAGCTCCTTTTCTACTGAATTTAATCCCAAAGGGCTTGCTTTGTGTGGAAGTGAAGARAGGGGCTTTCCAGCTGCAGGGATGGCTAACCCCGGGCAGGCCGCAGTTTGTTGTCCTTGTGCCCTGGCCTCCAAACAAACTCAACCTTTGTTAGGAGTCGCGGAGGAAACCCCCTTGTCACTGGCCTGATCACGAGAGCGCCAGTGTCCTGGGAAAGCGGTGGGTGTGGGGCCGGCAGCCTCTGTGGGCTGTGATGGGATGTGGCAGGACTGACTGTTACATTCCAGCACTAGGGAAAACCTCTCCCTTCGTTGGGTCTTACGGCAGCCCCTGCCAGCTCTAGAGAGAGAGAGAGAGAGAGAGAGTTGATTTATCAGTGGGGGAAACTAGGCTGGGCTTCCTCTCTAGAAAGATACCTATCTTAAACATGTCTCCCTTTCTTGCTGCCTCGGTCCTTGGGCCGTGTTTGTGTCGTGGGTACCTGATGCCGCAGCAATGGCCTGCGAGGCCCGGTGTGGACGAGGCTAGTTAACGTGCCACATAGTCCTGCTGGGGGCCAGGCAGCYGCGCGGCGCCTCCACGCAGGGGTGCCCGCTTTCCCCACGGGACGCTCTGTGCAAAGCAGCATGACTCCGGGAAGGACAGGGGTCCCAGCTCAGACCTGGGAAGAAAGATGGAAAATGGACCAAGCAGGTTTGGCCAGATGTATGTGGGTACAGGGGGGTCATCTCTTGGGGAAAGAGGGTGGTAGGGGAAGCCTGACTTCCTCCTTTCACTGGAGACCAGTGYGGCCCTGGCTGCTGATAAGAAATCACGTGCTGGGGACTCGTGGGCTGACATGCCTTAAAAGGGGCTTGGGGAGAGTTAATTAAGCAAATTTTCATCCCTAAAGGCGCTGATGTTCTGGTCTGTCCTTCAAGTGATGGTAACTGGCAGCTGTGCTAGTAAAGGGGAGGGGAGGGATCTTTCTCATGTACCCCTTGCTGACTTGGGTAACCATCAAGTATCAAGCCTCATCTTGAAGGGCAAAGAGCCCCTGTTAACAGCTGACTAGCRTGTGCAGTTCTTAACTCTCCATCTCACCTAGCTCTGCGCTGGAGTTCTGCATGCAGGGAAATAGAGATATTCGCCATTCAAACTGTCTGCTCCTGTGTTCAGGTCCTGCCCCGCTGAATACCAGTGTTGCTGAATGCCCTGTACACTGGATCCCAGCTTGCAGGAGTTGTAGGCTAGGGGAAAACTCAACATGGGAGAGCAGAGCAGAGCAGAGAAACCATTGTGAAAGAAAATAGCAGGGGACCGGAGGGGCACAGTTTTAGGGGCTGGATTAAAGGTGCTCACTGCAGAGAGCTTAGCTGTGCCAAGCTCTGCCGGGGTGCTCTGCTGCCCAGCAGCAGAATGGTCACAGTTAATRGGAATGGGGACCGGCATCCTGCAGCGGAGCTGGGCGGTTTCATGGGGCCTTCCCATGCCCAGTGCCTGCATCTTCACAGCCTGCGTCTCCACGCTTCGCTTTTGGTTAATAGGCACGTGGCCCTTCTGTGGGGTGTGCGGTGTGATTGCCTCGTGCTGTGAGGAGCTGCCTCTGTATCGGAGGCTGCGGGTCACGTTTGCCAGGGGCTGGGCACTCGRCTGACTTCCCATTTCTGTAGCTGCCCCATGTGCTCAAGGCTGGACAGGCGGCTGGTGCCATTTAAGAGGCAGAGACCTCCTGACAGATGAGAGCAAGCATGCAGACAAGGAAGCTCTCACCCCAGGGGACAGTCCTCATGGGAAACAGGGTGGCCTCTCCCTTCCGTGGGCCAGGTTCTGGGACCTTACATCAGGTAGAACCCTTTTCTGGGAGCAACTAATCCCCAGAGAGCTACTCAGTGCAAATGAGGTTAATGGAACATGGCTTGGATGGATTTTGAAACCCTTGTTTTGCTGCTCTTCTCTTTTCCYTAGGCACTTTGGAAACCTTCTTGTCCCTTTCAG